TKTTTTTTTTTKKKGRGGGKGGTACTGGGGATTGAACTCAGAGGCACTTGACCACTGAGCCACATCCCAGCCCTATTCTGTATTTTATTTATTTATAGACAGGGTCTCACTGAGTTGCTTARTGCCTCACTTTTGCTGAGGCTGGCTTTGAACTCGTCACCCTCCTGTCTCAGCCTCCCAAACTGCTGGGATTACAGGTGTGCACCACTGTGCCTGGCAAAGATTAGTTTTAATGTGAAAAAATTTACTTCTGGTGCTTATATCATTATCTTTTTATAGAAGGATGGGTTGGTTAAATTAAAGACAGTTGAGCTCTGAATATTGGACAAGGCAAGAGAGAAGGTGGAAGTCAAAGGACGGCCAAAGATACCGTGTTTTGGAGTCACCGTGTCCTCCCTGACTGGAGGATGGGGTGCTTCGGGTGGCGATTTTATGTCTGGATCTCTCAATAGAAATTTCCTCTTTCTATGCAGAGAGGAATTTTGAGCAGACTCCATCACGCTGCTTTGACTCCATCACGCTGCTTCTTGGAGCTTAATAGAGACACTCCTTGGCATATTGAATTCCTGGTGTTCTCTCTGTTAGGCTCATCATGCTCCCTCCATGTATTAATTCCACCCCCAGAGTAGAGTGCTGGGGGGAGGAACTCTTCACCAGGCTCCAGGTGGAACCTCACCTGTAAGCAAATGACTGGCATTCCCTGCCCCAAGAGCCACAGAGCCAGAGGGAAACCATGGCCCATAAAGAAATGGTCGTTCATCTTAGGCCACACAGCTCCTAATTAATGCTCAGCTGTGGCTAGCATGGGGCTGAGTCCCGCCCTGCACTCTACTGCAAACACATCTACTGAAGCAGTTCTTCCCTGGTTGACTCAAGGAGGCTGAGGGCCAGTCTTCAACATGGTCCTGCCCACCTGAGAGGCCTTGTTGGTATTACCTGCCCAGCTGTCCTTTACAGCCCTTTTCTAGAATAGGATGAAAACGATAAGAATGGAAATGGTGAGGAAAAGGCCATGGGTTTCCCTCATGCTTTTACACCAGGGCCACTGTCCCAATAAAGCTGTCCTACCCGCCTGTCAGCTTGCCATTCAACTAGCAATACCGAAGGCTCCCCCTCTAGGCGTGGATAGAAGCGCTGAGATTATGGGGTAAAGACGACGGACAAAGGCCCCATGCAAGAAACAYGTACTTATGTTCTGACCACAGATGACAATAAACAGCATACTGTCACATGGTATCATATGATAGGAAGGAAATAAAGAGGGCAGCATGACAGAGAGCAACTGAGGCTGGGTGGGGGTAGAAGAGGGTGGGAGGTCATGGAAGGTGGAAGAGAAAATCACTTAAGAAACAKGGTTGGATTTGGGCGTGGTGGCGCACACTCTTGTAATCCCAGCAGCTCAGGAGGCTGACACAGGAGGATCTCGAGTTAAAGTCAGCCTCASCAAAAGCRAGGTGCTAAGTAATTCAGTGACACCCTGTCTCTAAATGGAATACAAAATAGGGCTGGAATGTGGCTCAGTGGGTGAGTGCCCCTGAGTTCAATCCCTGGTATCCCCTGCCCCMAAAAGTTTGGGGAYTTTAAGGGACTGGTCCAAATGGGGAAAGTGGTACCTTTGTCTATCTCAGTTTCCTGACCATTTATTCCAGGCAGCAAAGCAGAGGCTTAAATTTCTAATTTAGTGTGGAGAAAGAGACATTTGGCTACCAAAAAGGAAAAATAACAAAGTCTCAATTATATTCCAAAACATTCTGTGATGGAAGATTTTATGAAATAACCATTTAAATATTGTCATATATCAAAACTGAACAAAGATAGTAAAAGAAACTGTATAGTA